TAATAAAAGTATCTGAACACCAGGATAAAAACCTTAAACCAAAGCTGTTTAATCTACAAAAAGTACTAAGCTTTTGTCGGCCAAACTACCGACATCATCAGAGTGTAAAAATGCCAGATCCGGGAGTTAGTTTATATAACTGGCCACCTAACTCCTGGATCCGGCGTTTTTATACTCTGACAATGTCGGTAGTTTGGCCGACGAAAGCTTAGTATTTTTTATAGATTAAACAGCTTTGGTTTAAGATTTTTATCCTGGTGTTCAGATACTTTTATTACTGCCATGATATGTGTATACCCGGGATTCTTGTTTTTAACGTTATTAAAGACATACATATACATAGCCAAGAGAAATCATCAAAACAATAAAAAAATGAAAATTAGAATATTTCAGACATGTGATGCAATACCCAGAAAAATACGGCATACTCCATTTAATCCTCCAGGGAAAGATTGAAGGCAAACAAGGTCCAGGCAGAAGAACAACATCGTGGCTTCAAAATCTAAGGAACTGGTTTGGACAAAACTCAGCAGCACTTTTTCGTGAGGCTGCTGATAAAAACAGGATCGCCAACATGATCGACAACGGCTGATAATGGATATGGCACAAGAAGAAGAAGAAGAATACATATACATAAACACACACACATATATAGCTCTTTGTCAGCAAAAACATATATATACATACATACATACATACATACATACATACATACATACATACATTTTCAACCTTTTCACAGATTGTACCACTTTTAGGACATGACAATATTCAAGTACCACCTGTGCTTAGCAAGGTGTCAAAAGCGTGATAACTGAAAAAAATGGGGCGGGATTTTGGGTTTTACCGGTTAGATTCATTTGTTGTTAAAGAAATGGCTAGTTTATACTATTATGGGAAAGTAAAAAGTTGAGGTTCCATGTTAATGCTTCATTCTACTCCAACAGAGGAAGTCGGAAGTCAATGCCTTTTCTTTTCCCCTGCTCCCCCTCACTTTTTTTTTCCCTTCTTCCTCCCCACTGTGTCCTATTATTTGCTTTTGTATTTTTGTATTTTATTCCATAATCTAATAAAATGTTACAAACCAGAAAAAAAAGGAAAAAGTAACGGTTTTAATTTCTTCGGTGGTGATTCTTTTGCTCTCAAGCCATGCAGAGGACCCCCAGTGGTGCAGGCTGCCTAGAGCCCTGGGCAGTGGAGGGCAAGTGTCCAGCTCAGCCCAGCCTTCCCCAAGGGATTGCCCGGCTGGGCTTACCTTCTCCTCGAGGCTGCTGCTATTTGGCTCATGCTCCTCAGTCAGGTTGCTCATGGTGTGTGCGGGAGGGCAAAATGTGTGGGTCAGAGGGAGGCCCACTCCCTCTCCATGCGAGGAGACACGGATTTGTAACTAAAGCATCCTCAACAATAGTATGGGAGACCACCAGGAGAGTCAGGAGGAGGGGACAAGGGGATGGCAAAAGGGCAGCAGGGCTGTTCGTGCCCAAGTGCTAAGGCAAGACTTCCCTCAGACCTTCCCTCCCTCTCATTATAATTTCCTTCCTTCCTTCCTTCCTTCCAGCCATCCATCCTTCCTCCTTCCCTCCCTCTGTCCCTCCATCCCTTCCTCTCCCTTTCTTCTTTTTCCTTCCCTCTTCATTTTCCTTTCCTTTTTCTTCCTTCCCCTCTTTCCTTCTTTTTTCTTCCTTGCTCTCTACCCCTCTTTCCTTCTTTTTCTTTGTCTTTCCTCTTTCCCTTTCTCCTTTCCTGTCCCTTCTTGGATGCTCAAATGCAAAAGGGGAAACATTTCTCAATGCCTCCTTGCCTTGTAATCAAATGCCACTTTTGCTAGTAGTTTGTGGCCACTTAACAAATTGAGAACAAACCAGGCTCAGTTTATCCCATGTTTGCATTTAGTGGGGGCGTCCACAGACAACAGTACAGCAAAACTGTCAAAATGGTGGCTCTTTCTTGTGGCAGCCCCTCAGATACTGGAATACTGCTATCATGTCTCCCCTATTTCTTCTTTTCTTTAGACTAGCCAAACCCAAGTCCCGCAGCCGTTCTTCATATGTTTTAATCTCCAGGCCTTTGATCATCTTAGCTGCTCTTTTCTGAATTTTTTCCAAACTCTCAACATCTTTTTTGTGATATGGTGACCAAAATTGGCTGCAGTATTCCAAGTGTGGCCTTACTAGGGTTTTATAAAACAGTACTAATACTTTGTGTGATCTTGATTCTATGCCTCTTTTTATACAACCCAGGATTGTATTAGGTTTTTGGTTGCTGCTGCACACTGCTGGCTCATAGTGAAGTGAATGTCCACTAGGACTCCAAGGTCCCTCTCACACTTACTGTTTGTAACCAGGTCTCACCCAATCTATACTTGTACCACTGATTTTTCCTGCCTAAATATAAAACTTCACATTTCTCCACATTGAAACTCATTTTGTTGGCTAGCGCCCATTGTTCAAGTTTGTCTCGATCTTTTTGGATCCTGAGTTTGTCTTCTGGGGTGTTGACTACTCCTGTCAGTTTGGTGTCATCTGCAAATTTGATGAGTTCCACTTCAATTCCCTCATCTAAGTCATTTATGAAGATGTTGAAGCAGTGGTGGGATTCAAATATTTGAACAACTGGTTCTCTGTGTGGATGCCACTTCCAGAAGTCCATTAGCTACCGGTTCTGCCGAACTGGTGTGAACTGGCTGAATCCCACCACTGTGTTGAAGAGTACTGGGCCTAAGATGGAACCTTGTGGTACCCTACTGCTTACCTCTCTCCATGTGGATGTAGTGCTGTTGAGGACTACTCATTGAGTACGGTTTGTCAGCCAGCTACAGATCCATCTGGTGGTGATGTTGTCTATTCCACCTTTTTCTAGTTTACTAGGAGTAGGTTGTGGTCTACTTTAGCAAATGCCTTACTGAAATCTAAGTATTGTATACTACATCCACAGCATTTTGCTGGTCTAGTAGTTTAGTCACTTTATCAAAGAATGAAATAAGATTGGTTTGGTGTGGTCTGTTTTTAACAAACCCGTGCTGGCTACTGGTTATGACTTTGCTTCTAGTTGTTTGCAGATCTGTTTTTTGATTATCTTTTCTAGGATCTTCCCAGGTATTGATGTTAAACGGATTGGTCTGTAGTTTCCTAGGTCTGTTTTTTTTTCCCTTTCTTGAAGATGGGAATCACATCAGCCCTTTTCCAATCCTCAGGTAATTCCCCGGTGCTCCAGGATTTATGAAAGATGTGTTGCAATGGTTCTGAGATAACATCTGCCAGCTCTTTCAGAGGTGTAATCTGGGGGGGAATCTGTCGGGTCCCAGTGATTTATATTCATCAAGGTCGGATAGGTGTTCTCTTACCATTTTCTTGCTTATTTTAATTTTTGTTTCTAGTATGTCTTTTGCAGTGTTGTTGGTTTTTTTTTGCATGTTGGGCTATAGTTTCTTTTTGTGTGAAGATTGATGCAAAGTATGAGTTAAACAGCTCTGCTTTCTCCCTGTTGTCTGTTATTTCCTTACCATCTTCTCTCTTTAGTAGGCCTACAGGTTCCTTGACTTTTTTCTTGTTGTTAATATGTTAGAAGAAACTTTTTTTATTGTCCTTTATTTCTGTTGCAAGTCTTCGTTTGTTCCAAGCCTTTGCTTTCCTGACTTCATCTTTGCATATTCTGCTGTCTGCTAATAATCGGCCTTAGTTATGTGCCTCTCTTTCCATTTTTTGTATTTGTCCCTTTTGTCTTTCAGTTTTCCAGAGAGATTTTTGTGCAACCATGCTGGTTTCTTCTTGAATTTCTTGTTTTTCTTTCTCAATAGTATTGTGCTGGTCTGGGCTTTTATGATCATATTTTTCAGAGTTTCCCCACACTTCTTGGGTTGTTTTTCCCTTTAGGATTTTCATCCATGGGATCTTTTCTAGGTTCTCTCTGAGTTTGTTAAAGTCAGCTCTTTTGAAATTTAAGACATTGGTTGGATTGTTTTCTATTGCAAGTGTTTGCATTATATTAAATTCCAGTATGACGTGGTCACTTTCACCCAAGGTTCTGGCAATTTCAATTCCCTATATCACTTCTTCTCTATTTATAAGGATTAAGTCCAGTATAGCTTTACATCTAGTTCCCTCCTCCACCTTTTGGGTGACAAAGTTGTCGGCTAGGAGTCTGTTTGATCTCCCGCTCACTGCAGAGTTTGTCTCCCAGTTGGTAAATGGATAGTTGAAGTCTCCTATTACTACTGTGGTAGGCTTCCTACATATGTTTGTTAACTGGTTGGCAAAGAGTTCATCTACTTCTTCTGATTGGTTGGGTGGCCTGTAATATACATCCATGGCAATGTCACTGTTTTCTCTTTTATATTGACCCATATACATTCTGGAAAGATTTTATCTTTGATCATGTGCATTTCTGTAGATATGTAGTGTTCTCTTACATATAGTGTAAGAATAATGTAAACTACCCCATCCTTGCTAGAAACTGTAGGAAATCAGTACTGCATCCTGTACAATAACCAGCAGAGATTTTGTCTATACTTCTGCTGGGGAGATTGACAGAAAATTTCTGTTCTTCTTCATATTGTGTATTTATATATTTATTTTAAAATATGTATATGTCAAGCCCCTTAGGAAATCAGGAGATTCAGACAGTTCAAAAGAGTATAAAGATTTATTGCAAGCTTAAACGCTCTGTAAGAATCTGACCAACTAACAGTCAAAGGAAATTCACAGGAATCAAGGATAGAAAGGAATTCAAGGTGGGCATTCTTAGATGTCTTGTGGGTGTGCAGGGATTCATGACTTATGATGCATTTGATCCCTCCCTTGGCCTCAGTCTGGTCATTTCCTACATTATATATCTGTTTATATTGCAGCAATAATCTTGAATAGCACATAAAACAGTACAAACAACAGAAAACCCCAGACCATGAAATAAAAATAAAAACTCTAAAAAATTCTATAAATACTAATGGTACGCCACAGCAGCAATAGTGTTAAGATCCATTTTACTGGCATCCATAAGATGATTTATTTTACTTTCATGGTTAGCTGATCCTTTGTATTTAGCTCCGGCCTCAGTAAAATAATGTAGCACTTGGGGAAAAAGATGCAGCCCAACAAGCCAGCACTAGAGGTCAAGATGGAGAAGACCTGCACGGCCACCATGTACTTGCCCTTGGTGCTCAGATAAGCAGGTACAAAGGAGATCCAAACACTACAGAAAACCAGCATGCTGAAGGTGATGAGCTTGGCTTCATTGAAGGTTGCAGGTAGTCTTCGAGCCAGGAAAGCTACCACCAAGCAGACAGCTGCCAGGAAGGCCATGTAACCAAGGGCAAAGTAAAACATGGCGACCAAACCTTCGTTGCACTGCACAACAATTTCTCCTGTCTGGGAATGCATATCCAAGTCAGGGAAGGGGGGAGTGGTGCCCAACCAGATAGCACAGATAATAATTTGGACAACAGAGCAAAAAAGGACAATAGAGTTGCCCAAAGACTTCCCAAGCCATCTCCTCATGCTATTGCCTGGCTTGGTGGCTAGGAAGGCTAGCACCACTGTGATGGTTTTGGCCAAGAGAGAAGAGATGGCCACTGAAAAAATTATGTTGAAAGTTGCTTGTCGTAGAAGGCAGGTGGCTCTCCTTGGCTGGCCAATGAAGAGGAAGCAAGATAAGAAGGAAAGCAGGAGGGAGCCAAGGAGAATGTAGGAGAGATCTTGGTTGTTAGCCTTGACTATTGGAGTTTCTATAAATTTGATGAAGATTCCCAACACAAACCCAGTGGTTAAGGAGAGGAATAAGGCAAAAGTAGTTAGAATTATGCCCAGATGTCCTTCATAGGAAAGGAAGGTTTTAAGTTTGGAAATGCATTGATCATTGTTCTTATTTGGGTGCTGATCTTCTGGACACTTGTTGCACTTTTCAGCATCTGAAAGAGTAAGTGCTAGATCTTTTTTCACATCATGCAATAAGGTTTTTTTTTAATGACATTTGATACCAAAATTCAGAAAAAAGCACAGCTGATTATATGTGTGGGAGGACAAAAACTCTGTATAACAACATTCATCCCATGCCCCAATCACCCACATTGACCCTAATATCTCTCTTCTCCTTTGTCCTCAAGTCATGACTTCCAAATGTCATTAATGCACAGTATCACTAACATTAACAGAATATTAGCAATTTCATTGTTTTTCATTTAGAAGTACAGTCTAAGACCTATTTTGTCTATCTTGACTAAAATGGATTGGGCTAAGACAAAGCAATTTGGGTTAAATTCCCCTGGGAGCTTTCATAGTTGATGTGTAATGGACACACGAAATAACTTTAAGGAACAAGAGAAATAGCCACAACCAGCTAAAACAAATTTGAACCCGAGGTAGAAATATAATTTGAGAAACTATTTCAAACTTGACTCCCCCTATTTCTCATAAGAGGGGGGGAGCGCCTTTAGACTTGCAGGATTCTGTTACAGTAACCTTATAACAAAAGTATATTAGTATTCATGAGTTTGGTTTCCTAGTCTAGTCTATCTCAAAGGGCTCATGTGAGGAGGGACTAGAAAGTGGGTCTCTTTAGTTCTGGTCTAACTCCTCCACTTACACCACACTGGCTTTTAGTCTGGGAGGAAGGAACTGTCCCAAATCCCTTCAAGGAACTTCTGTGGATGGAGCAGGGCTTGAACCTAGATCTTCCTGCTTCTGTTCCAGCTTCTTTACCTCTATATCATCCTGCTGCGGGGCTGAGATGGTGATTGATCAGAATCCCCCAGAGAGCCTCTGTGGCTGAGGACGGAAAGAGCCTGGGTCTCTGTGTATCTAATCCAACTCCTTCTTTATTACCTCACACTTGGTTGAATAGGAGGGAGCAGCTCAAAGCCCTCCTGTGTTCAAGCAAGGGCCAGACCCTCATCTGTCATGGATGTTTCAATTTGGATTCTGGCCCTAACTGATTGATTGGCTCCTTCCAATACTAAGATTCTAAAATTTTCCAAACTAACTTCTATTATGAAATTTGTCTCTACACTGAGAAAATGCATGATCTTAGCCACTTTAAAAAAAAGGAATTTCTGCATTTGGTAAAGTAAAAATTGCATTGAGGCAAGCTGTACCTGGTCGATCCGTAACTCCTTCAAAATCATTTTGTGGAACAGAAAATAAAACGACCAGAAAGAAATCAAAGTCCTTTTAAAGAACCCCTTGCTTTGGAATGATGTGGAGAAGTCTATTTCCCCCAAAATCGCCTTCTACTTTGGAGTCACTCACCTTCCTGAATTGAGATGGTCCCTTCTGCACATGGAACACAATCATAGCAGCAAACTGGCTTCCCCTGTTGAACCACCTTAAGGAATCCAGGGAGACAACTTTTTCCACACCTAGAGGGAGGAAGAAACTAATCACACAAGGAAAGAAGATCAATGAAAATACATTAGCAGCCATTTATGTGATTTGGCTTAATACAGATAGTCCTCGATTTACAATAGTTTATTTAGTGACCATTCAAAGTTGCAATGACACTGAAAAAAGTAACTTATGACCATTTTTCACATTTACGACCATCACAGCATCCCCATGGTCAAATGATCGAAATTCAGATGCTTGATAACTAACTGATACTTATGATGGATGCAGCGTCCCGGGGTCATGTGATCACTTTTGACTAACAATGGGGAAAACAGATTCACTTCACAACCCTGTTACTAACTTTAACAACTTCGATGATTCACTTACCAACTGGGGCAAGAAAGATCATAAAATGGGGCAAAACATTAACATTAACAAATGTCTCATTTCGCAACAGAAATTTGGGGCTCTGTTGTGGTCATAAGTCAAGGACTTTCTATATAAACTAGCCTTGAATTCCTCTCCAAACTGATATAATATTTATTTGTTTGTTTGTTTAAATTTATTTATTGATTTCTCACCAGAAGCTTATATGTTTTTTGCTACCCCTCCCTATGTCCCCTTCTGTGATGCTTTAGATCAGGGGTAGTCAACCTTGGCTCTTTTATGACTCGTGGACTTCAACTCCCAGAATTCCTGAGCCAGCCATGCTGAGGGGAAAGGGAGAGGTTTCCAAGCTGAGCCATGCTGGCTCAGGAATTCTGGGAGTTGAAGTCCACGAGTCATAAAAGAGCCAAGGTTGACTACCCCTGATCTAGATGCTTATTTTTATTCTTCAGGACAAGAACAGTCCTTTAATTCTGGATGGAGCTATCCTTTTGATGATCTGTTAGAGCTGTGTAAATGGAGAAATGATGGAAGTGCCATATGATTAGGTGACATTAAGTGGTATTCTAAAAGTGGCCAAAATGGTAGACTAAAGCCATTTCCCCACCTTGTTGAACAAATTCATCTGTGCAGTATCATCTGGGTTGATGACAAGCTTGAAGTCAAGAGTGCTCTGTCTTTTTAGGTTCCCAAATTTCACTCTGGTAATGGACTTATTTGGTAAGATGGTCCAGTAGATGATGTCAAAGACAGAGGCCAGGTCTCCTTTCTCATCTAAATAGACTCCATCCATGGAAGAATTGTAGAATGGAGAGTTTTGCAAAAAAAGGTGAAGCTGGAATGGAAGAAGAAACTGCAATAGATAGAAAAGCCAAGTTTCTTATCATGCTTATTGGTCCAAGCTGATGGCTCAGGTGAATTTGGACAGCTGATTTGATTTAGATTGATTCAGTTTTCCGGAGCAAGGGGGATAAAAAGTGAATGGACAACTCATTTGAACCCACCTGATTCAAAGTATCAATCCCAATTAGAAAGTCAATTCAAAGATTTAATCAAAGTGTACACAGACTGAATCTCCAAGCTGAATTTATTATATTGTGTCTTTTTAACATTTGAACCTATCTACCGGTACCTCTCTCCTTCCCTCTCTCCCTCCCTCCCTCCGTCCATTTATTTATTTATTTATTTATTTATTTATTTATTTATTTATTTATTTATTTATTTATTTATTTATTTATATTTGTTTATTTTCCTTCATTTATTAACACACTCCACAGCCTAGATTTACTTCCAGCAGTCTTCAGTCCAGTTCTTTCACTGGAAACTTTGAAACTCATCTTGGCTTCCTTCCAGACAAAGCATAATTAGTGTTTAGTATTACAAATTAAGGCATTGTTAAAAGGCACTAAAATAATAATAATAATAATAATAATAATAATAATAATAATAATAATAATAATAATAATAATAATAATAATAATAATAATAATAATAATAATAATAATAATAATAATAAAGTTGGAAGAGACCTTGGAGGTCATCTAGTCCAACCCCCTGCTCAGGCAGGAAACCCTATACCATTTCGGACAAATGGCTGTCCAGTCTCTT